AAGCCATAAAATAGCACTTTCATATTTACATTATTTGTATTGCATATTGAAATTCAAAGAGTGCATCTTTACATTATTTGTACTGCATATTGAAGTTCAAAGTGTTGCATATTATTGAGCTTGTAGGTTAGTAAGTTAAGCATGGTTTGTATGTGATCTCACCCACACACACACACACACACACACACACACACATATATATATATATATATATATATATGGAGCGGTTCTGGTAAGAACGGAGTCCCAGGAGAGAAATGAGAACGAATCTGGACCGTTGGATTGTATTATGTGGAACTGGATTGTGCATTTGGTAAAACTGAAATGTGGATCAGATGATATCGAAATGTGCAGAATAAAAATTTAAACTCAAGTGTGCATTAGGTGAAACTGAAATGTGCGAAATAAAAGGTACAAAAATAACATCAAATTGTGCCTTTTATTCTGCACATTTCAGTTTCACCTAGTGCACATTTCAATTTTATCTAATGCACAATTCAGCTTCACATAACTCCACTGTATCATACCATTTCTGCTGCATATTTCAATTTCACCTAATGCACATTACAGTTTCATCTAATGCACATTGAATTTCATTTAAAGCAAATCTAACGGTCCAAATTCATTCTCATTTCTCTCCTAAGATCATGTTCTTATTTGAACCAAAACCTATATATGTGTGTGTGTGTGTGTGTGTGTGTGTGTGTATATATATATAGGGGAGGGTTCAAATACAAAGAGGTCTTCCCATGCAAAGTGGGAATTAATCTTGTGCGTTCATTCTGAGATCTATTGGCTCAAAATGAGCCAAAAGTGAACTAAATTTGATCAAAAACGCGGTGGCAATTTCGTAAATAAAACGAAGTTTTTTGCCATCGCGAAAAAGTGCAACAGAAACACGCAAAAGTGCAACACGGTGAAGAAAAAGTGCAAGTGTTCGCACTTTGCACGGGAGAACCTCTTTTTATTTTATCTCTTCCCTATATATATATATATATATATATATATATATATATATATATAGGGAAGAGATCACATACAAATCATGCTTCCCGTACAAAATGCAAACTCATCTTGTATGTTGAAATTGGGCAAATCAATGGCTATTCATCTATTAACCACCGTAGCATTCAATGAGGTGAAATGCAGGGAACTAAAAACGATTGGATAATTGAGATGCACGATTAGTAAGCAAGGACAACAAAGTAAATTAACATTTTTTAAAAAATGAGCTGCATAGTCTTTTATGGAAAGAAATCCCAAAAAATCAGGTAACCCACCATTAAAAGTTCAACCACCCATTTATGTTTAGCAAATTTAAAAACAGAAACATACGGAGTTGTATGCAACTACTAAATTTCAACCACCCATTTGTGCATAAATTAACATCTGAGTTTTTAGCCATCACAAATTAAGGTTGCAATAGCATATCCAATTATTCTTGATTTTGGGAATTATTCACGTGTCACTTTTCAAGAATTGTTCAAACTTTCACAAAAAGTAAAGGGACATTTATATACTTGATTTTAGGAATTATTCACTTCCTAATTAATCTTTCGTTTTTGAAACCTAAAATATTAGGGCAATGGAAGGTGCATTATATATTAATAACGTGGGCATAATTTAGAACTTCTAACATGTTAAGTTTGTAAGATGTCAACACAGGTAGAAGTGTGCACATTGAGGTTACATGATGTGCATATTAAGGTTACGAGATATGCATTTTATATTTATAATGTCTCTATAACTTATATTAGAACTACATAGTGATAAAATATGTTGACATTCCATTTTAGTAATTCATATATTGCATTTTATCATTATGACATATGCATTTTGGAAGTTCATATATTGCACTTTAGTAAGATGATATGTGCACTTTAGAAGTTCATATTGCATCTTATCGTTATCGCATCTGCATTTTAGTATCTCATATGTTGCATTTTTATCATTACGGCGTGACATTTTAGAATATCGTATGTTGCATTTTAGTAAGTTGAGATGTGCATTGTAGAAGACAATTTGATGCATCTTACCGTTATGAAATCTGCATTGTGCACTCAACCGACATGCATACGAAATTCAGGGTAATGTACGAGAAACATCTTCTAAATGGTAAGATTTCGCATACTAAAAAAAGGTAAAATTTTGCAAACTAAAATCAAATGAACAATACATAAATACGAAATTGTTGAATTCATATACAAACGAATACCATAAAAAAATAAAGACATCCAGCATGTACAACGAACTCCATGGCGATGCCGGAATTTTATGGCGATGCCAGAATCCATGGCGTTCAAATAGAAGAAACCCAATCAGATTCTATTAAATTTGAGATGAACCGGAGATAGAGATGGAGATGGCATTGGGCACTTGGGCATAGAGATGGAGATGAAAATTGAGATGAAGAAGAGATGTGTATGCTACAAAGAGAAGTTGGGGGAAGGAGATACGTATGTTGAAGAGAGAATATGGAAAGATCGCGAATTTTTTTCTTCCCAAAATTAATACAAACCAAAAAGACTTTAAAGTCCCTCAACTTCTCAAATTAAATTGCCGTATCATATATTCAACGCATAGGAGATCAAAGTAAATGGATGGCCCTGATTAGTTTGTAAATGGATGATCCTTAATCTTTTGGCTCATTTTGAGCCAATAGATCTCAAAATGAACGCACAAGATTAATTCCCACTTTGCATGGGAAGACCTCTTTGTATTTGAACCCTTAGGCAGAGAACTGTGAAGTCAAACTTATAGACTAAAAACACGAACTTTTAACCAATAAATCATAACTTATAGACTCCCTCGAAAATAACTACGAAAATGCCACCGCAAAAATTAACTCCAGAGACCTTCAATTTTTTTACGTGGTGGCATTTTCGTAATTATGATGGAGAACTTTATAAGTTACTCCCTCCGGCCCTTAATTAACTTTACACTTTCCTTTTTGGGCCGTCCCATATTAAACTTTACACTTCCTTATTTGCCTTATTTGGCAAACAAATCTACACCAAACAGTGCAAAATAGTGCAAAACAGTGCAAAACAGTGCAAACAGTGTCAAACAGTGTCAAACAGTGTATTCTATAGTAAAGTCAAATTTATTTCCTTAATATGTGTGAAGTCAAAGTGTAAACTTCATTAGAGACCGGAGGGGGTATGATTTATTGGTTATAAGTTCCCATATTCTAACTATAAGTTTACTGCGTTGTAAGATTAGATGCAAATCCAAGGCATGAGATTACTTCTCACTTCTCATTTTAAATGGAACTTCTCACCTGATCTTTTGGGGGTGTTTGGCAATCGGTTGTTGGCCGTTGACCGTTGGCTGATCGAATTAGTTGATTGACAACAGCAGATTCTATCGGCTGTTTTGGTTAGCAGATAAAATTAGCTGATTGTAATACGTTGTTTGGTAAAATGGCGGTTTTAAATCAGCTAACTTGGTAAATGACTTTTAAGGATATCAATTAATTTTTATTAATGTAGTTAGTACAACTCGATAAACCGTCTTTTTGAATTTAAAAACATAAAATATATTAACACAAGTAGTAATTATTTTAAACATGTTTCTCAAATTAATAAATTTAATTTATATTTTCAATTTCCTTAGGAACAAAACGTTACTAATATATACTTAATTACTAAATACTCCGTCTAGCGGGACGGAGGGAATATTTCGTATAAATCATTTTTGATAGCATAAAAAGTAAACCTGTTTTTTTGAAGGAAACAAAAAAAGTAATCTTGAAACGCCGCTCATCTAACTTCCAAATAGAAAATTATAAAACATCAAATTAGGATGTTTTTACTTGGACTGTAATTCGTTCTAGACCAGACTAGACCGGACCAGATTAGACCAGACCAGACCAGTTCAGACCAGACCAGACCAGACTTGGATAGTTATAAAAATACAAAGAAACCAGACCAGATCAGACCAGACCAGACCAGTTCAGACCAGACCAAACCAGACAAGACCAGATCAGACCAGACCATCAAATTACAGTCCAAGTAAAAACATCCTTGGAGTAGAAATGATATTTACGTGGAGTAGACATCAAATTAGAGTATGGATGCTATTTACGTGGAGCAATTAAAGGGTTAAATTAGATTTTTGAAAATTGAAATTAAATGGATGAAGTTAAAACGCCACGATGTTTAGCGTTTCTGATTTTGGCCATTTAGGGGGTAAAAGCTATTTTCAAAAGCTAGTCACCAAACACTCAAAATGGCCGATTGAGATGGTCAAATGGCTGATATTGGTCAAATCATCCAGATTTTGGCCGAAAGGCTTACTACCAAACACCCCCTCTCTCTCTCTCTCTCCTCTCTCTCTCTCTCTCTCTATATATATATATTGATATATTATAAGATCAAAGAATTCATGATTTATTGTATACAAACATATGTATGTTGAAATATATATTTGTAGTATAATTTAAGATACACACACACACACATATATATGTATGTATATATATATATATATATATATATATATATATATATATATATATATATATGTGTGTGTGTGTGTGTGTGTATTTTGATATATTATAAGATCAAAGAATTCATGATTTATTGTATACAAACATATGTATGTTGAAGTATATTTGTAGTATAATTTAAGAAAAAGTATGTATATACTTATATATTGAGCGGGTTGGGGCGGACCATGGCGGCATGGGTCAATACTAATACCCGGACCCGCTACATTGTATAGACGGGGCGGGACGGACACGTCCCAAATGTCTCGGGCCAGGGCGGGTCATTGCGGGTCGGGTTTTTTTGACATCCCTAATCATTACAAGTTGAAAGTACTTCATCTGTTCCCTTTTAATTGCAACGGTCAACATTTCACGTTTGCCAATGCACAAATTTGACAATGAAACAATCAACATTTCACCCTTTTAATTACAAGTATATATTTCATTCTCTATTAGTAAAAAATTTAAAAAATCATATTTTGAAAATTTAGAATGAGAAGAATTTAGTAATATTTTTTAAAAATTTAATTTATACTCGTGTAATACATTATACAGTAATTAATAAAACATGGTCAACTTAGAATATGAGATTGCAAAAACTTGTTTTTGCAATTAAAAGAGAACTAGGATAGTATAAGAAAGAACTGAAAAAGGCTGGATCAAAGGTGGAGAAGGAATGGTGAGCCTAATTTTTATCCTGTCCCAAACTTGCATTTTCTTGGGTTGCTTTGCTGCGTTCGCCTTGTACAAGTTCACCACCTCCGATGGTACTGCATTCATCTCTCCTCTTCTTCCTACGGTCTTTGTCGCCACTCGCCGAGCATATTATTACTCCGTATTATAATTATTATCCATCGATTTAATTCATTTCTCAGTCTAATATCATCAGTTGCATAAAGCTGCAACATTTGATCCTCAAGTAGTTTGAAACAATTTGATGTCGCGAACAATTGACTTTATTTACCAGTTACAGTTTACTTAAAATTCGTTGTTATTTCCAGGAGATTTCACTTTAATCTCAAAAGGGGCTGTGAAGCGTGACGAAATAGAAGACAAGGTTTATTGTTTCTTCATATGTACTACGTATATTTGTAGTTTTTTGTTTGTTTGTTTATTGTTTGCTGCTTTTATAATTTGCTAAATAGCTAGTTGTCTTCTTACTCTAGTTTCTTAACCTCGGAAATTTGCAGGTTATTTGGATTACTGGAGCAAGTCGTGGTATAGGTAGGCTGATACTTTCCGTTTATAGTGCCATGAAGTTTACCATAGTTTAATTAATTGTTGATTAGTTGATGTTCTCCTATCATGATGAAGAATTAATATTCTCTCATGTTTCTTGGCTAATCAACAGGGGAGGTCCTATCAAAGCAACTTGCCAGCTTAGGGGCAAAAATCATTTTATCTGCACGAAATGAGGCTGAACTACAGCGTGTGAGGCAGCAACTTTCTGGTAGGTATTTGAGTATTTCTGTGCCTCGCTTTTCTGGTAGGTATTTCTGTATAGGGCGGTAAAAACTATTTTTTGTGATGGTTTTAGTTTTAATTTTTCTATTTCATAAACTTTTGTGGTCATGCAAACTAGGAAAACATGCACCGAATAAAGTGGAAGTTTTACCCCTAGATTTGACAGCCAGTGAAGATGTTCTTAGGAAGGCTGTAGAGAAAGCTGAGTCTTTATTTGATGGATCGGGTGTGGATTATATGTTCCATAATGCAGCTTATGAACGTCCTGTAAGTGAATATTTATCCCAATAATAGATGCTAATTGAATGATTCAGCCAAGCTTTTGTGATTAACAAAGCTATTAAATGATTCTGTTGAGAGGACTTTTGAGGAAAAAGAGGATGAATTAGGGATATGCCCCCCACCCTCCAAAAAGACTGTGAGGGGGTGCACTACTGCACTAAAAGTTTAAAACTGACTCTTTTGTAAAAAAAAGGTTTTTCCACATCTTGTACTCCCTCCGTCCCGCAAAGAACTTCCCGCTTTTCTTTTTTAGCAGTCCCAAAAAGAAGTTCCCATTTCCCTAAATGGGAAGTTATCTACATCAAAACAATGCCAAACAGTGCAAAACAGTGTCAAACAATGCCAAACAGTGTCCAAACAGTGTCAAAACAGTAAAATTTACCCCCTTGTAAGTTTATTTCTTTAATATGTGTGTAGATCAAACCGGGAAGTTCTTTGCGTGACGGAGGGAGTATATGATAAGGAAAGGAGAAGCTGGTAGAGAGGGGAAGGTCTAGATTATAACTCAAGTTTACTTTCATGTAGTTCCCAACCATTTAAAACAAGTAACAGTTCATGGTGCATTGATATATTTTTTTAATTGGTGATGAGTAAATACAATCAAATTCTTGTTTACAGAAATCAACAGCGCTGGATGTCACAGCAGAAAGTCTCAAGGTATTATGTCATTGGTAGTTTAAAGCATGATGATGCTGTTGAGAATTCATTGCCAGGGTTTGTGCGGTTGGTTGTCAAATTCATACAAGAATACAATTAATCTTGAAATGGACTCACTTAGTATGAAAGGTTCCTTTTTTCCTAGATAGAATCTTGCATCTACCTGACTATTAATTCAATGTTATGCTGAGTGATCCCTTGTTTAAGCTCTGAGGTGGTTCAGACTTCAGACAAGACATTAAAACCAATTTATGGAATCATGTCTTTACTTTTGTGTTAGTAGGCCACTTTTGATGTGAATGTTCTTGGCCCAATATCTTTGACTCAATTGTTGGCGCCATACATGCTGAAGCGGGGAAGAGGACATTTTGTTGTGGTAAGTTCTAAGTAGGATGTAACTGTGTTGACTATATTTTAGACTTTTAGTACAGCAGTTGTATATTAGTGTTGGTTGGATAGTACTCCGTATATTAAAGTGATAGTGATCTCTTAAAATTGTTACATTGTGTTTCATTGATCTCATGAGGCACTTTTATGGTTTGTGTGTTGCTCTGCATGAACTTTGAATTAACTTTTATTTTTTGTGACTATTCCTATATTGCTTTAATGATGTGGTTGTATTTGAAAAAAGGTAGGTTCATGTTGAAGAGCTGTCTTGTATTTGTAGTATTACAGCTTATAATTTGTGGTTAGCTGAAATAGAAGTAACAAAGAAATGTGGTTTTATGATATGCAGATGAGCAGTGCTGCTGGAAAGGCTCCTGCACCAGGCCAAGCAGTGTACTCAGCTTCCAAATTTGCATTAAATGGATACTTTCACACGTTGCGTTCTGAGGTATGTTCAACTCAACCCCATTTAATTTTAATCTGAAATCTCAATCTGGTAGGAAATTTGAGAAGAGCGATATAGTTGGTTTTTCTTTGCTCATATGGTTCATTGATTGTATAGAAATGGACCTAAATAGGAGTAAAAACGTTTGTGAATTCCAAAACAGGACTACTATGTTTTTATTCTAAAACATCCATGTTTTGGCATAATTAGGCTTTAAACATGGCAGAATACTCCAAGCTTGGCATTACTCCTATTTAGGGAATAAAAACATAGTACTCCTATTTTGGAATTCCAAAACGTTTTTACTCCTATTTCAGAAATTTTCACTTGATTTTATTGTCAATTTGATTTTAATACCTCTTTTAGCGTATCTAATTGGAAGTAATTTGCTGGGATTCTTCCTTTGTTTTAAGTACTTTGAGCATCAGAGCATGTAATCCTATTATAGAAGGGACAAGATATAAAACATCAAAGCAAGAGATAAGAAGAAAACGTGTAGAACTCCCCAAATTCCAAAAGAGAGAAAACTCCCTAAAACTCCATTGCTCCTTCCCTCTATCAGTAATCTTTAATTGCTTCTAGCATGTAATCCAAAGAATCCCAGTAATAACACTGTACCTATTCGAGTTCACATGCGGTTCAGTATGGTGGCTATGCTCCGTTTGGTAGACTTTTTTTGTACTAAAAAGTACTCTACACTTAAGATTTACTTGACATATGCTGACTTGACTTATGCATCATATATGGGTAGGAATATGTATGCAAGAAAACAATAAACATGTGTGATCAATGGTTGGAAAACTGGTCCCTTGCCAACACTCATACTAGAAAATATAAAAAAGTCCAACATATGCCAGCAGTACCATGTTATTGTATGATTGTATCATAGTTCCATGTTTTTGTGCGCATCAACACATTTAATGCCGGTAAGTACTATGGTTGTTCGGCTTTGGCATCACTTCCTTGGTATTCTTCATGTTTATTTTTTAGTTTTATTTCATTGCAGCTTTGTACGAAAGGGATTAAGGTTACAATAGTTTGCCCGGGACCTGTAAAAACATCAGAGATTCCTGAAGCAAGCATCTCAAGAGTAGGGGGTGCCACTGAGGTAATTACTTTCTCTATAAAACATAAACAAAACACAATTATGATCCATTGTCTTCTTGATTAGTTATGCTGTATGGTCAAAGTTATGTTCACCAGTGTTGTAGCCAGGACCCCTAAATATCTGAATTTGGGGTAGCCTAGAAAAGTACTTTATTCATATAATTTTTTACTCGCAAAAAAATTACGCATGGAGCTTGAGGTGGACCGGGCCCGGGTTGGGTCCTACACCTCTGGTGTCGCTACATATATATTGCTTAAACCTGAAAAGAACTGTTCTTGTAGGGTTGAGAATCGAAGCTAATGTTCAATATTTCCTTGTTTCTTGTAACCCATTGTTGAAGAGTCCAAATGGAAGCTTTGAAGTTAGTATTAATGAAAAATCGGTAATTCAAATGTGAGCTAAAGGACAATTGCTTGAGCAAGAAATACTACTAAAAACTAGTCACTGGGACATGCAAGTTCATATTCCTCCGTTTTTTCATCATTACTGATTGTTTGGAACATGAATCCTCTCAATTCTTTTATAAATCTCCCATCTCCACATGGAGCAGAAAGTATCAGTTTCCCAGTTTCCGGATGTAAGTGCGAGACATGTGATCTTTTTAGCTTATTGCTTTCAATAATGTGTCTTCTCTTTCATTGTTCTCTTTCAGAAGCGTGTCTCCTCTGAACGGTGTGCAGAACTGACCATAATTGCTGCCAGCCATGGTCTCAAGGAAGCCTGGATATCATATCAGGTGGTAATTCCACCCAGCTATGATTATGATCTAATAATTTATGGGGAAGAAAGTCTAGTCACCCCTATCTGGCAGGATCGTTTGTGAAGACCTTCCTAACACACTAACATAGTATGCCTCTTGTGTTCTTGCAGCCTGTGCTTGCTGTAATGTACTTAGTACAGTATGTGCCAACAATTGGATACTGGCTTATGGACAAGGTATTATATTACTACGTACTACTCCCTCCGTCTCACTAACAATGGGACAAGAGGGAGTGACACGCAAGCCAATAAAAAGTGGTTTGTGTGGTTGATATTGAATTGATAAAGTAAGATTAAAAGTAAGAATGGTTTAGAGCCAAACAAACTTTACCAAATTTGGTATGGGACAATCTTAGTGGGACGGACCGAAAAGGTAAAATAGGACAATCTTAGCGGGATGGAGGGAGTATATTATTACAACAACAACAACATCCAAGTCTTACTCCCAAAAGAATTCGGGGTCGGCTAACATGAATCTGTTAAGGAGGCAAGAGCTAACCCTAGTCCAGGGATGTGTTCGAGATATTAATCGGGAAAGAGACAAAGAATCAGTAGAATTTAACGAAGCTATTCTTGTTAAATTAATCGGCGCCCGACCTTGTCAAGACGCACAAATTAATTCTCCAAAAACGTACTTTATTCCAATAACAAAAACTTCTTTATATAGAGAGGCTGCTTAGAGTTCTAAATAGGAAAGGAAACAAGAATTAGAAACAAACTAGAATCAGGACTAATAAGAATTAGGAAATTGTATTCTTGTTTCCCAGTTCAGCCATATTAAGTAACTAGAATAAGGAAATATATTAGAACTAGGAAACTAACTAGAATTAGGAAACTATATCCTTATTCCCTGATAGGCTTGGGGGACAGCAACAGCCTATTCAATACTTCAATAAGGTGTACAAGAGGAGAAATAAGTAGTATTATTACTTAACTATATAATAGCTAGTTCGGTTGGTCCCTGCGTGGACAATGAGCTATAAATAGTAAGTAGACAACAAAATAAGGCAGGCTGTTATTTTGTCATTGGCTGATAGCTTGGAGATTGGGCATCTCGAACTGTCCCACCCCTGTACCCCTTTACCGACTTTCTCTCTCTCTCAATAAACTGATTGTGATCTGTTCTAGCTACATTTTCCTTAGAATTGTGATTGTTCTGTGTTCATTACTGCCGGTGTCCTATCATGGTATCAGAGCAATTGTTCTGGTGATCGGAAAATTCGTAGAAGCATCGCCAGAAAGTTTTTTCTCTCGATCGGAATTGTGAATGGTCCGAACGAGAGGCAAAATAGAAAATCTAAGGGAGGAGAGGGAACGTAGCAGAATAGCGACTGAGGAAACGCTGTTACACATGAGAACGATGATGGATAACATGACGGTAAGAATGGATGCTATGAGCGAGGAATTCCGCGCGAGTAGGAGGTCGCGATCTCGCCATCATCATCGTCGACAGACTTCGCACAGCCCTGCGACGTCTAGAGGTAACTCAGTATATTCTAATATCCATAATCATCTTCGTACTGAGGAGCATGTGAGATTACCGGTACGTACCGGAAGAAAAATTGATTTACCATTGTTTAATGGAGAGGGAGCTTACAACTGGATAATACGAATGGAGAGATATTTTAGATTGAATCAGATTGTTGAAGAGTAGAAGGTGGAAGCATCTATGGTCGCCATGGAGGACAGAGCTTTGAATTGGTTTCACCTGTGGGAAAATCAGACGGAAGAAACAAGTTGGGAGGTGCTGAAGAAATCTGTTATCCGTAGATTTCAACCGGAATTACTTCAAAATCCGTACGGGCCTATACTCAGTGTGAAACAAACGGGAACTGTGGAGGAATACAGAGCAGAATTCGAAATGGTGATAGCACCACAACAGAATATGGATACAGAGTTATTGAGAGGAATTTTCATATCAGGCCTCAAGCAGGAGATCAAATCTAAGCTGAAACTGTTTGCTTCCAGATCGTTGACTGAAATTATGGATAAGGCCATTCTAATTGAGCAGAAGAATGAGGCCAAATATTTGAAGAGAAAAGAGGAGGATAAATTTTCTGGGAAGGAGAGAGGACCGTTGCCTATGAAAAATCAGAATTGGGGTGAAGGATTCAAGAGCAGATTTGGCAATTCCTGGTCAAATCAGAGAAAAAATGGGGCTGAAGACAAGAATAACAATGCTTGGTTTGATAAAGCAGGACGGAAGATTACTGAAATACATCCCTCTGGCATCAGAAAAGTGGGACCTCAGTTGTCACAAGAAGAATATCAGGAAAGAAGTAGGAAGGGACTTTGTTTTAAATGCGGAGAGAAATGGAATAGGGATCATACTTGTAAACTGAAAAACTATAAGCTGATTATGGTAGAAGATTCCACAGAAGAAGAAAATTCTGATGGGGAAGAAAGGGAAATTCCTGTAGAAGAGGAGACTAGCATGGAATCCAAATCAATGCAGTTATCACTCATGAGTAAGGAAGGGATTCCTTCCATGAGAGCTTTCAAGGTGAAGGGTTGCTTGAAATGGGAATTGGGAGAAAAAGAAGTGGACATACTCATTGACAGTGGAGCTACTCACAACTTTATATCTCAAGGGATGGTGAATAAACTCAGGATACCTTACACCACTATTACAGGGTATAAGGTACAGATTGGCAATGGTGACAAACTGGTTAATAATGGGAGGTGTGAAGCATTAACTGTAGATTTACAAGAAGCAGTAATTGAGCAGGATTTTTATATCCTGGATCTCGGGGGTACTGATATGGTGCTTGGGATGGAATGGTTGACCAGCTTAGGAGATGTGGAAGTAAATTTTAAAAAACAGGTGATCAGGTGGCAGGAGCAAGGGAAGAATCAAATAATACAAGGGGATCCACATTTGAATTCTCTGGAGGTATCTTTGGACACCATGACTCAGATTCTAAATGATGCAGGGGATGGGTATTTGATTCTGTGTGAAGGCAAGTTTGTGGAATTTAAAAAAGGGGAAGAAATAGATGAAACTTGGAAGCAGATTTTGGCAGAATTTCCAGAAGTTTGCACACCTTTGAAGACACTTCCTCCCAGCAGATCATGTGACCATGCAATTAATATTCAGCAAGGAGCACAGATCCCAAACATAAGGCCCTACAGGTATCCTCATTACTAGAAAACTGAAATTGAGAAAATCATAAAAGAAATGCTCAATGAAGGTATAATCCAGCACAGTAATAGCCCTTATAGTAGCCCTATCTTATTAGCTAAGAAGAAGGATGGGGGTTGGAGGTTCTGTGGTGACTATAGGGCTTTGAACAAGATTACTGTACCTGACAAATTCCCTATACCTATCATTGAAGAACTGTTGGATGAGTTAGGTGGAGCTATGATTTTTTCCAAATTGGACTTGAAATCTGGTTATCACCAGATAAGAATGAAGGAGGAAGATAGGCAAAAGACTGCATTCAGAACTCATGAAGGGCATTATGAGTACTTGGTAATGCCCTTTGGTTTGACCAATGCACCATCTACTTTCCAAGCACTCATGAATCAAGTCTTAAGGCCTTTCCTCAGAAAATTTGCCCTGGTTTTCTTTGATGACATTCTCATATATAGTAAATCCAGGGAAGAGCATCAAACACATTTGAGGAAGGTATTACTTGCATTGAAGGAGAAGCAGTTAGTTATAAACTCAAAAAAATGTTCTTTTGGGCAATCTGAACTGGTATACTTGGGTCATGTAATATCTGGGAGTGGAGTTGCTGCAGACCCTACCAAGATAGAGGCTATGATTCAGTGGCCACAGCCTAAGGATGTGAAAGGATTGAGGGGATTTCTGGGACTTACTGGCTACTACAGACGGTTTGTAAAAGGGTATGGCAAGATTGCTTTACCTTTAACACAGCTTCTAAAGAAAGACAGTTTCGAGTGGGGGACAGAGGCTACAAAGGCGTTTGAGGAATTAAAGAACAGGATGACCACTCTACCAGTTTTGGCAACCCCAGATTTTAATAAGGTCTTCATTGTAGAAACGGATGCTTCTGGTACAGGTCTGGGGGCTGTTTTGATGCAGGAAGGTCGGCCTATTGCATATATGAGTAAGGAATTGTCTAAAAGAAACCAGAACAGGTCAGTCTATGAAAGAGAGTTGATGGCTATTGTTTTGGCAATCCAAAAATGGAGACCTTACCTGTTAGGGAGAACTTTTGAAGTTCATACAGATCAGAAAAGCTTAAGATTCTTAACAGAACAAAGATTGATGGGGGAGGAGCAACAAAGATGGACTTCCAAATTACTGGGTTACAATTTCATTATCAAGTATAAACCTGGAGTGGAGAATAGAGCTGCAGATTCTTTGTCCAGAAGACCCTCTCTCAATGCTATTTCCGTAGTCACTTCACAGGAATGGGAAGGTTTGGAAGAAGAGTTACTTACAGATCTCAAATGCCAATCAATACTCCAGCAGATCATATCACAGCCAGATCAACATCAGGAGTTTCAGACTATCAAGGGGTTATTATATTACAGAGGGAGACTAGTTTTACCTAGTAAATCTCCTAGAGTTATCAGAATTATGAAGGAATATCATGATTCTGCTATTGGTGGTCACTCGGGATACTTTAGAACAATGAAGAGAATATCTAATTTGTTTTATTGGCATGGAATGAGAAAGGACATAAAGAAGTTTGTGGAGGAATGTCCTACATGTCAAACAAACAAATATCAAGCTCTAAAACCAGCCGGGTTGTTACAACCCCTGCCTATTCCTCAGAATATCTGGACTGACATTTCCATGGATTTTGTGGGAGGGCTGCCAAAATCACATGGAAAAGATACTATCATGGTGGTTGTGGACAGACTGACTAAGTCAGCTCACTTCTTAGCTTTATCACATCCATTTAATGCCAAAGAGGTGGCTGAACTTTTCATCAGAGGTAGTCAAGTTGCATGGGTTCCCCAAAACTATTGTGAGTGACCGGGATAGCATATTTATGAGTCCCTTTTGGTCTGAACTCTTCAAATTAGCTGGAACTAAACTCAAATACAGCACAACTTATCACCCACAAACAGATGGACAGACAGAAGTGGTCAATAGATGCTTGGAAACCTACCTGAGGTGCATTACTGACAAGAAACCTAAACATTGGGCTGATTGGTTAGCTTGGGCAGAATTCTGGTATAATACCAACTATCATGCATCC